ATTTTATGTTGGGTGACTCATATATCATCTTAAAAATAATACAAACATGAAAATGAGTTTTTGCTTGACATGTGTGATTAACATGATATCATGAATATATTTGTGTTTGGAAAGAACTCTTTACCTGAATTATCATAACTTTAATTAGATTTTCATAAGATAATAATATGCTATGGTTATATACTATTAACATTTCATATATTCTTAAGTGGTTCAAAAATACATATGATAATCATATGAAACCTAATTATATTTACACATCTATATAACAAATTATCATTTGTTTGTTGATCATGTGTTGGGGTGAGCATTCAATTGATTTGGATGGTTCGGTTTTTAAATTGGTCAAACTGATTGCAATTGAAATCCAAAATTAGAAATCAGAAATCTGAAAAATCAAATCAATTAAAATTTTTATAAAACCTAACTGACCAAAACGAAATTTAATTAGGTTTAAAATGTTCGATTATGAACAAACCTAAATTTAGTTAGTTGGATATAGTTATGAACAAATATGAAGAATTAAATATCATAGATAAATAATGTCAATTTAATTTCATGAATACTGCATCTAATTTTGAATTCATTTTATTTTTGGTTTGCTCAATTAAATAAAAATTAAAATTGACCCAATAATTGAAAACTGAATATTGAAATTTTAAAAGTAAAAAACGAAAATGCAAATTTGAAATCGAACCAAATCAACCAATTTTGTTTGCTTTGGTTCAATTTTTCGGCTTTGACCAAATAATGCACGCCTCTAACAAATTAGAGACATAATCCAAGTGATGAAATATGACATAAATTAAATTAGAGTTCAAGAAAATATTGACATGCTATAGACAATAAAATTGAAACCTCATGTAAAAATTATAATTACTTTAACATGCAGAGATTATTTATATCATCAAGAATAAGTTTTATTACAATGAATAAATTCTTATAAGAGCTCAATACATATCATGAATCATCTCTTAAATATCGATATTTAATGGATTCCAAAATAAGAGAGAGTAGCCACCCTTCTGGAGAACAAAACCCTAAAAAAATTGCCATCACAAGATTGCTAGAATGGAACCCTAACCTTATTCTTCTCTTTCTCCTCCCTTACCAAGCACTCAACCACATTTTTCCCCTAAGACTTCTCAAGAGGAAGAAGATCCCAATCAATTCTCATTGTCAATTTATTTGTCACCCATGCTAGTCAGTCATATTCTTCCTTTGACTCCCTCTCCATACTCTATGCCATACCTTCTATTAGTTTATCATGAAATAATTGTAATATTAAATAATATCACTAGTATTAATTGATATAAATAATATTATTTATCATTAACTCTCATTATCCAATCTAATTATAATTAAACATAGCTAATCATACTTAAAATTTAACCCAAGCTTGCAAATTCGGATGTGTTAACCATCTCTCAGTATTTTGATCACAATATCTAAATTTTATGTTCATATATGTTTTGAAAAGCTAAAAATATTTCCCATTACTTTCATGTTAATGAATTTACCTAATTCAACCTTCTAGAAAGGCAAAACTTACAAATATCGAGAGAAAATTTTAAAGAATGTATATGGATGTTTTCAAAGAAGTAACTTCACCATATCATGATTCCTACAAATGATGATAAATAACTCATAATATTTTTTTGTCGTAATTACTTCATAAATGCATGCACATAATTTATGATAAAACTATTAGTATTCTTATTATTATAATTAATTCATATATAAAAAGAGCTATTACAATTATAGACATCTAAACTTCTTATAAGAAACCTTTGACCATTTTTCTAATTGGAAAATGTTCTAAAAAGTAAATGACATGGTTGCAACCTTTTAATGTGATTTCTTGCCGTTTTGTAACTACAAGAATAAAATGCTTATTTTGTAAACAAAAATGCATAAGCATGGACAGAATGAAGTAATTTCAGTCAAAAAAAAATATACGGCATAATTTAGTAATTGCTTTATCATGCTTCTTTTTCTTCTTAAAGTCATGTTTTTTTAAGGAAAATGAAACAAGCTAAGACAACCGGAGAAGTCAAGTGTGGAAGATAATAATGGCAGCAACAACAATTACACAGCTAATATACAAAATACTAATTATTCCACAATTAATACTCAATCATACTTCTTTAATAACTGAGCACAATTAAAAAACTTTATATTGGATACGTTACCGTGGTAGTTAATCGTGCATTCACTATATCAATAAAAGTCATTTATGGATCATTTGCTTGCTTTATATATTTTAAAATTTCTTATCAAAAAAATTACTTCCATAATCAATCTTTCTGGCTTAAAATAAAATTGATTCTCCTACACTAACATGATTTTTATGAGTAAATGTTTCTTTACAATCCCCACAATATAGCATGACTCAAAAGTTTCCAATCCACGTGGTAGTAACAAGACCCTTAGTTATTTGTCACGGACAAATAGTCACACATCGTCTAGGTGTAGGGCCGAAAAATAGTATTTAAGTCATGGGCTGTCCACCACCCACAATGGCTCTTTTGGGAGGTGACAAGTGGTATAAAAGTAGATTACTGTCTGTCAGGTGTGTGCACTCTCCATGGTCCAGTGGGACCCTCGGTGGAGCCGATCCGTGACGAGGGTGTCACGTGATTGGGTGGAGAAGAATGTCACGGACAAAAAGTCCCACATCGGCTAGGTGTAGGACCGAAAAGCAGTATTTAAGACCTGGGTTGCCCACCACCCCTAAGAGCTCTTTTGGGAGGTGACATATTGCTCTCTATAAGTGGTCAACAAAATTCCCCTATAATTACAAAAGTTTTGAGCAACTTCTTTATACTAAATAATATGTCCAAATGTGTCTCTTTATTTCAATTGACATTCTCATAGTTTAACAAACTTCTTTGAAAAAGTTCAATAACCAAACTATTTCAATCTCTCATAAATATCTAAATCTCAAAGGCCAATTGATTCCCCACTAATAACAACAATCAAGAACACCTATTTTGTATTAATTAATGGTAACAAATGATTCTTTTTTTGTCTATTTTACATTCTCATAGTCCTAAAAATTTCACTAAAAATATTCAATAACCAAATTACTTCAATCTCTCTCATAACTTTACAACTCTCAAGGGGCTTCTCAAGTGGACCAAGGAATTACTTTCATGCATATCATGCATATTCTTCAAAGTTATCTAAACTTCAATTTTATTTGTGCATTTGATCAAGGTTTCATAATTTTGTGCATTATGATAAACTAAAAAAGATTTCTACTATAAAACTCATATTAATAATTTCTCAAAATATCATTTAGCCTTTCATGATACCAATTTTTAAAAAAATGTGTTTAAAGAGTAAGAGAAAACATCTTGAAGCAAAATGGTCATGAAATGCTATCGAGAAAAACAATCAAAGCACAAGTGTTAAGAAGGGTACATTTTATAAGTAAAGTACATGCTACATGATGCACTTTGTAGCATTTTAAATCTCATTTCAGCATTCACAAAATTCTAATAGCCTAAGAAGTGAGAGAATAGAAATAAAAAGAGTCAAAAGTAAAAATAAAACTTTTATATTTTTTGTAAGGAAAGGGTAAGGAAAAAATAAAAATTTAACTATTAGAAAAAATTTACTTTTTTAAAACACCCCAAAAATTGATAGTTATGTTACCTGATTTTCATTTTCCCCACATTGCCACGAAAAGTTTTCTTCTTAAAACAAAAACATCAACTAAGAAAATATAAAGGAAGCTTAGCGTTTGCATTATGTTTCTCTCCCGGTAAATAAATAAATAAATAAAATAAAATAAAAATAACTTCAACACTTTTCTATCTCATCTTCCTTTTGTCCTATCTTGTCTTTCACTTCAACTTATCTATGTTATTTTTCCTCATCAACTACCACCATTTAAAGATTAACACGTAACTTATGCTTGAAATATTGTATTCCACTATATAAGTTCATGTGAATGTGATGATGTCACGTATTAATGAAACTAATTGAAAATGCTAATTGCTTAAAAATAGTAAAGTATGAAAGAAATCTTAATTTTATTTTTGTTTATGTTTCTATCATCATAATATATGTAAACATTTTCTATTTACATAAATTATAACAATGAAGCTTATGTTTTACTCTTTATTGCTAACACATCAATCTATCAAGGGGTTAAAAACTTCACATTTTCACTTTTTATAACTTTTCTTTATATCTTCATATTTAACCAGATTCCTATAATCTTCATTTTAATAATTGAAGTTTGATCAAAATACTTTAGAATTCCTATCTTCTATCCTCCTTCCATGGTGCCTACAAAATTATAAAAATCATCAAAATTTGCAGCTTTCCATTGGCTTACTATCCTCTACATATATCTTCCATCATTCCTGTAACCATTGTAAACACCTTCAGTATATAAATTTTGCCACTTTATAAGGGCTGTTTCTTCTACTTGAATTTTTTTGTGCTATCCCTTTGTAGACTCCATATTTATATTTAATATGATAATCTTCTCAATTCAACGAATCATTTTATCACGGCATCAAATTGGTTCAACTATAGATTTATAATTTACTTCTCTTAAAAGAACTATCTTAAAATATTAACAAGCTTCCACCTTTCAGCAGCTAATCGAAGGTAACTATTTATTTTGATAGTTTTCCTTCTTTTTAAAAGATACATTTAAAACAACTTGCTTCATATGGTTAAAATTTTTATGTAATCACTAGAAAAACTTTGGAAGATATTTTATGTTTGCTACCAAAGAAGAAAAAGCCTTGAAGCAGAATTTACATGATTGAATGGCATTCTCAGATCACTGTATCCCTTCAACTTCAGCTTCCTGAGTAAGAAATTCTTCACATGACAAGTTCTAAATTTCAATATTAAACAATAAATACCAAATTTCGGGAACCAAATGCAATTTCCTTCAATCTATCACACAGTGTACACCATCCAGAAATCAAGCCAGAAAGGTTTAAGAAAATGCAACTAAGAAAAACAAGTACTACCTTCAAGCTCTCTACCACACCAGGAACGACCTCGTGCTCAAGCCCAGAGTACTCCCCTTCCGTGTTCTCTCTAATTACAACAATGTCAACGTTCTCATGGCGTGTGGGCAACCCAGGGAGATTGAAACAGTTGACCAGGGAAGCGTAGAGATCGAGCTCCTTCCTCAGCTGCACATTCAGAGAGCTAACACCTCCACCCACTGGCGTAGCCAGGCCCCCCTTGAGACAGACCTTATTCCTTCGGATCGAATCAATTACCTCCTGCGGCACTGATGTCATGTCTCCATGGACCTCATAGGTCTCGAAGAACACAGGCGCATGCATCGCCTCCATGACCTGCTGCACGGCTCCGGTGACCAGGGGACCGATTCCGTCACCGGGAATCAGCGTCACTGCCCTCGGCGCACCGTCGCCGGGCCGGGGCATGTACGTCACAGAGCGTCGGCTCTCGGTGAACCCTAATCGGAAACTAAAAGGAAAGGAACCATTATCATGCCGGAGGAGCTTCCTAAGACAAGAAAGGGACCTAACCGCCATTGCTAGGGTTTTAGCTCCGGAAGACCACGAGTTCTTCGGACATAATGCTTTGATCGGTGAAGAAATGAGGGTTTTTGGCTGCACGTGAGGATTTAGGTTCAGCAAGGATTAGTAAATTCCTTATATTCGTATTTATAAAATTTAGTATCGTTAAAATAAAAATATATATATATTTGATATGATTTAATTTAAATTTATTTAAATTCATCAGATTTAGAACATTATTATTTCAACTCTCATCAAATCCCTTAAATTTAACTCTTTAACGGATTTAGTAAACCTAGGATTTACATTATGGCACAGGAAATATTGGATTTAAAACAAGATTAGATTTAGCACCTTCAAAATTCAAGTTTAGCGGATTTACGTGAAATTGAGACGATAATCCTTTAAAACACGTCTATCAAATGCCCCCATGGAATTTGCAATTTGCAGATCAAATGATTTCAATAAGACATTGAATGAATAAATAAATAAATGTATACACCTGAAATTATTATTTTTTGATATATTTATGGCCTATTTGACCAGGGACAAGATTTTAAGTCAAATTTAGCAAATTTTGTAAGATTTATTTCATTTTGAAAAGAATCTTAAAATTTGTTCATATATCATTAATTGAATCCAAGGTTTTGAAAACCGAAGCAAACTTTAAACCAAAAGGATAAAATGTTCAAATTCATTGGTTCAATAGGAGTTAAATCGGTGGTTGAACTAGATTACGTAATAACAATTAATATTAATTAAATATGATCTAAATGGTAAAATAATGATGCAATAATGACAAATTAAAAAAAAAAGAACAAGCTAATAACAGTTCTCGCCTGTCAAGATCTAAAGGTTGTACAGCTCTGCTGTGTGAGCATGCGCGAGAGCAGTGCGAGTGATGTGCTGCCCTTAAGCTGTGATGGGGAAACCTTATGACATTCGGAATTGGTAAAATTTGTAATGCGAAGTTGATTCATGGTTTGACCGATTCATCGACCTACTATTTGAACCTCCAATTTAACCAGTTTTGATAGACAAAAAAGGGGTTTTTATATGATTTGAACTGGACTATCCATCGGTTCATGGTCGAATCGGTGGAACCGACCGGTTCAGTCAAATTTTCTAAACTCCGGTTAAATCCTAAAGATACCCCCATAAACTGTTTAGCAAATTTTATTAGGATTTGATTGTGTTAATTTGATTGCAAATTGATGGCAATAACGAGAAGCAATTCCCAACTTTATCAGCGCTTAGAATCAATTAGAAACTAAACCATATCATAGAATAATAGGAACTACAAGATTTGAGCAAACTGGAACAAAATATAAATGAAAACACAATCAAGGTAATTAGAAAAGCACACACGAAATTATGTGGAAAAATCCGAAAACGGGAAAAACCATGAAACCACACCAGCATAATAATTCCACTATGAAATGAAAGAATTTTACAGAGAACCCAAATCAATTTCCTCTCTACACTATAGGACTTGCTCTACAATCTTTTTTTCTTCTAATCCAACGCAAGAATCATTACATATTATCAAAATCCACATCTTCAACTCTTCTTTCTTTCATCGGGGGGAACACAATCGAAGAATACAAGAAGAAAATCACACATACAGACTTTACGCAGCTTGAAATGAGGACTTCAAACCAAAATTTTTTATGAAATTTGCTTCAGTTGCATAGGCGCTGAACTTGACTCACAAGCGTCAAGCTCCCTGAAAACAGGTGTTGGGGTGCCTGTAGTGGGCGTCTAAGCACCCATATTAGGCGCTTATGCCCCCCATAAGGGTGCTCAAGAGCGCCTATGCTCTGTGAGCAGTGCATAATGGGTGCTTGAGTGCCCATAGCCCGACGCCTTGACACCGGGTGCTATGTCTGAGAGAAAGCAATTAGCAGTGTTGGGATTGGTGCACCTGAATTCTACTGCTCGTGGGTGTTCCAATTAGGTTGTACAACATATTAATCTTTCATTTGGAGACTAATTGCACCCAACCAATCCCCACTATCTGCACCTTGATCCCAACTTTTTTGTATGCACGGATGTATAGTTGACACCACTACAGCGCCAAAAATTTGATCCTTATATGAAAAGTAAGTTGTGTAAAATATATACATAAATTATAAGCAATGAATAATGGGTTTCTACGCAAGTATACGTATCATTATCAAGTAATAATGGATTTTCTATTTAAGCCTCAAATATCGATCCTACGGGGAAAGTGTAAGTTAGCAATGATAAATTTTAATAGGAAATTTATAGAAAATCAAACGAAATCACTGTCACTAATTTCAAATATTGAGATTTTAACCAAACTAAATTACTTAATTATTAACAAAAATGGAAATCCAACTTTAAATATTAAATTATCTACTAACTATGTTTATATAATGAAGATTTATTATGTGAAAAAACATCCTTCCCACTACAATCAAGGTTCTGGTAAAATGAGATGAGATAAATGTTTATAATATATATTGTGCCAAATAGGAGCAATTATAATTCTCTACCCTGATACAGTGCATAGGAAATCATTGGCTAATCCTAGGTTTAGTCCCTAAATACGTGGCTAGGCTAAGAGGATACCTGCTCCCACTCCAGAGCTCCCACTTCTTGAAGGCTAACTCTCGCTTTAGTTTTTAAATACTGAGACTAAATTGAGGATTTTAGTCTGTCACCCTAAAGATTCTCCAATTTTACACCCAACAAAGAATATTTCCCTATTTATTTGCACTTAATTTCATGAACGAATTTCTCCTTCATAAAATCAAATGTGATCCTACTCTGTTGTAGAACTCATACTCCATTTCCCGGATCATATGCTTCACAATATATTTTAACAAATCAATTAGCCAAATTGAAAAGTAAATTAAAAAGTAAATTAAGTTCGGAGTTGAAAAATCATCACAATTTATTTTATATTTTAATTATGGCACATTCATTTTGTCTCTTCATTTCACCATATCTCAGAGCAAGGGGAAAGATAGAGGGAACTACTCAGACTTCATGAGAAAGATACTACAAAACTCAAATTTCATATAAAAATAGAGTTCATACAATACTAAACAAACAAACAAACTTATCTGGAACTCTTTCTCAAAATAAATCTTTTGTAGCCTTTCCTTAGAAATGCGGGAAGAAGAATTCTCTCACTTTTTTCCTTCTCCAACATTCTTACAGAAAGTTTCACACTAAATCTCATCACAAACTCTAAACTATGAAAGCAAAATCACTAATTGACTCCAATATGGTAGTGGAATGGAATGATGTGAAGCGAAAAATGAACGTAGAGGAGTGAAAAATGTAGATAAACTCATTTTCTAATGAAATTCGGCCCTAAATAGAGCCCAAGGTCGGTTCTCCAAGAGGTGCCTCCAAAAAATCTTCAAAAAAATTGTCCAAATACATCGAACCTTCTAGAAACGGGTCTGCACCACCTTTGGTGTTGTTGGCGTTGGTCTGGCGCTGAGTAAAAATCTCCAGCGTTAAATTATTCTGCGCCGTCGGCGCTGACCTTGGCACTACCAACGCTAAGCATTTCTCTAAAAACTTAATTCTGACTCCAAATTTCATCCTTTTTGCTTTCTTTTTGCTTTATGCCCTAAAAATCAACAACCTGCAAGAAAATATCAAAATATCTTCTATTAAAGTGCAATATCACCAAAAATGAGTATAAAATATGGGTCTAAAAATGAATATATTTTCGGTGTATTAAAATCCCCCAAACTTAAATGTTACTTGTCCTCAAGTAACTTCTCTACTACATAAAAAATATGACTTTTGGTAAAGAATTTAACTTTTAGACTTTCATATTTTAGTTTTTTAAATATAATAGTTTTAACTTAAGAAAAATTCAAAACAACTCCAGTTAATACTAAAGGTCTAAGGATATTTAGTAATTAAGTCTAAGGTTTCTGATCCTCTATTTCTTTCAAGAAAAATTGCGATTTGTTATATTAAAGTCACTTAGGAAATTCATATGAAAAAGAACTTCATAAAACTTTATTAATAATTAAGTTAACATTCAAATAAAAAGTTTAAAAAATGTGTCCATGTCTTTTTCTTTAAGTTGATTCAAGTGAAGCTAATTTTTAATTAGGCATCTCCTCAAGCTTCTCGTCACATCTTTTCTTTTTCTTTTTTTCTTTTTTCTTTTATTTTCTTTTTCTGAGGATTACTATATCTGGATAACCTTTAATGATTTTGAACTTCACCATCCTTTTCTTAAAGTTAAAAACTTTTTACATTTCTTCACTTAACAAATTTATATTAACTTAAAAATTTCATAAAGTTTAATTCTTTTCTTTTTACATGAACCTCTTTAAAATTTTTAATACTTCAAAAATACAAATTTCTTTTACTAAAAATAGAAAAACATAGTCTTATTCTCTTTTACCAAATATCTTAGCCTCTAGAATTAACCTTTATTATTGAAAATTTTTACTTAAATTTACTATATATTTAGAAACATAAATATAGTTATCCAAAGTTAACTTCTAATACCAAAGGTCATGTTAAATTTAAAATTTTAAAAATATAATTAAGTGAGGACAAATAAAATTAAGTTCTTTTCTAATAATGATATTTCTTCTCCCCCCCAACCCCAAACTTAATTTTTTTAAAAGATTTTTACATCAAGAACTTTAAAAATGAAGGGTAAAAGAAAGCATTAAATACATAGAAAAAATTCATACCTGTTGGAGATTTTGATTTTTGAACATAAATTTTAAAATTCTGCAAGTGCTAATATAAAAACTACAATACTAAAAACATTAAATTACACATAATACATATAAAATTTGTTGAGAAATAGCTAATCGAGAAATATATAAAATTTGTTGAGAAATAGCTAATCACAATACATAACAAAGTGCTGAAAATAACAACAAAACTAAACTAAATTCTAAAAATAATAACAGTTATCCACATTACAGTTTAACATAATATAATAAACAAAGTCTCAACAACATCACAACACAAATAGAACAATCACACATTACAAACATAAATAAACAAACAAAATAGATCACCAGTCATTAATTTCCTCCTCATCAACATCTAACTGTTGCTGCTGATGTGGAATATAAGTAGGGTGAA